TTGAGCCCAGGAGTTGGAGGTTGCTGTGAGCTGTAATGCCATGGCACTCTACCCAGGGGGACAGCTTGAGGCTCTGTCTCAAAAAAAAAAAAATACATATAAAGATAGTATGCAAATGAGGGAGGTAAAAGCAGAAGGCTTTTATTTTTCATTTAATACCTTTCTGAACTGGTTAAACTTTATTGGCCTATGAACATTTTTATTTCTTTCAGTATCGATAAGAACTATAGAAGTGATCAGGTTAAATTTTGACTTTTGTACTTTGATGTAAAAATAAATAAATATCTACTTCTCAGAAACTACTGTGTGCCAAGCCCTTTGACAGTTACTTTTACATAGATTACCTCACTCAATCTAAAATATGCCCCTAAGAGGTAGATATTATGGCAGGTGAGGAATCTGGAGCTCAGAGAAATTAAAGATGATATATCAAAGAATCGAAGAATCAGAACACTACTACTGATCAATATCTTTAAAAAACAAAACAGAAAAGTTCATAGAGACAAGACAAACAAAAGAAAAAGAACATATTTTTACTTGGAAAGTTAAAATGAACCATCTTGAAGGGAAGGTAGGCAAACTATAGCCTTCAGGACAAATCTGGCCACTATCTGTTTTTGCAAATAAACTTTTATTGAAAATATCGCACTCATTACTTTACACGTGTATTATGTTTGGTTGCATTCACACTACAGGGGCAGAGTTGGTAGCTGCAACAAAAACCATATGGACTGCAAAGCCTAAAATATTTACCCTATCACCCTTTAAAGAAAAACTTAGCCGACTCTGATCAAATGAAAAAAATCTATCAAGTAACTTCTACAATGCATACTGGACTTCAGTTAACTTACTGCCATACAGAGAAACTTCATGAGGTACCGAATCATGTTTTTGTTTCTAGCATCAATGTGAACTATAGTAAACTATTTTAAATGCAATACACTTGTTATCAATACATCCCAACTGTAAAAGTTACTGAAAACAAACATTTATCAAACACATACAGCAAAATAATTATTAAAATGAACCTAACACTTTAAAATTGTAAACGATACCATTACCTTTGGATTGTGCATAACAATCGTCTCTCCACTTGGAAACTCTAACCTACGGTGCCACTGATTCGTAGTTACAGCTTTTTTATATTCAGCCTACAACAACGGAAACAACAAATAATCCAATATGACAAATCTGTATCATAGTGAGAGACAGTGTGGAGAAAAATTATATAACTATAATGGTAACAAATAGTAACAGCAGCTCTCATTTACTGATTATTACCATACTTCCTCAAAATCACCTTAAGTTATATGATCTCATTTAACTAATTCCTCTCAATCACTACTAAATGATTCCCATTATGTAATAAGAAAACCATGGTTTAGACCAGGGGGCCTCAAACTCTTTAAACAGGGGGCCAGTTCACTGTCCCTCAGACCGTTGAAGGACCAGTCTATGGGCCCCGGGGCGAGTCGGCTGCTAAGCAGGACAGGCAGCAGCAGCAAAAACACCCGGCGGGCTGGATGTCCTAGGTGGGCTGCATGTGGCCCACAGGGTGTAGTTTGAGGAAGCCTGCCCTATAGTATACACAGTTGTGTAGGGGAATATTTTTAGAATATGCCCTTAAATTTAAAAGGAAAGCAACAGAAATTAAACATCTAAGTGAGAACCGGGGTGTTTTCCCAATGAAATCAGGAACAAGTCTGGGATGTCTCCTCTCTCACCATTCCTTTTCAACATGGTACTAGAAGTCCTAGCTAATGCACTAAGACAAGAAAAGGAAATAAATGGTATACCCAATAGGGAAACATAAAGCTGTCTCTGTTCTAGTGTGTGTGTGAGAGAGACAGCAGAATATATAATATAGAATAACAGTGTCATAAATTATAAATTACAACAAAGTAATGGTTAATTTTTAATGAATTCTTAATGCCAGGCACTATTCTAAGTACTTTACATGTATTATCCTGTTTAATCCTTACAACAAGGCTATAAAAATGGGTTCTCTGATTATTTTCAATAGATGAAAAAACTGAAGTTAAAAGTTAATTAATATAACATAGTCACAACCATAACACAGATGGTTTAGACAATCTACTAGTTTCCTAGGGTACCACAACCTGAATGGCTTAAAACAGAAATCTACCATTCCATAATTCTGAAGACTCTAAGTCCAAAATCAAGGTGTCAGCAGGGCCTCTGAAACCTATAAGGAAATCCTCTGCACAGCTTCTGGTTGGTTGATCTGATCTTTGGCGTTCGCTGTAACTCCCATCACTGCTTTCATCATCATACGGCATTCTCTCTGTGTAGCTGTCTTCTTATAACGACACCAGTCACACTGGATGGGGGCCCACCCAACACTAGGATGACCACAGCTTAACTAACTACATCTGCAATGACCCTACTGCTAAATAAGGTCACATTCTGAGGTACTGAGGATTAGTACTTCAATATATTTGGGAGGAGGAGAGAAGAGACACAATTCAACCCCTAATAGGCATCTTAAGTACTGCACACAGTTGTACAAGATTACACAACTGCGGAGCGGCACCTGTGGCTCAAAGGAGTAAGGTTCCGGACCCATATGCCAGAGGTGGCAGGTTCAAACCCAGCCCCAGCCAAAAAATAAATAAATGAAATTAAAAAAAAAAAAAAAAGGATTACACAACTAGGAAATAGCAATGGTGGAACTGTGGTTCACTCCCACCTAGAAGTTCTGACTCCACACTCTTAACTACCCAACCACCTTCTTACTCTTCCCCCAGACATACAGTCTTTCCTTATAATCCTCAAGGGATTGGTTCCAAGACCCCTCACAGATACCAAAATCTCTAAGTATGCAACTCCCTCATACAAAATGGCATACATTATTTGAATAAAATTCACACACATCCTCCCATATACTTTAAATCATCTCTAGATTACTTATACCTATAATGCAAATGTTATACAGTTGTTACACTGTATTCTTTACTTACATTACTGTTGTATTGTTGAGTTTTATTTTCCTGAAACTTTTGTTTTTGTTAGACACATGGTCTTTTTCAATGCAATGGCTCCAACATAGCTCACTGTAACACTGAACCCCTCGGTTGAAGCAATCCTCCTGCAAGTCCTGCATCACCACACCCAGCTTATTTTTTTCAAGTTTTCATAAAGATGAGGTCTTTCTATGTTTCCCAGGCTGGTCCTGAACTCCTGCCCTCAAGCAATCCTCCTGCTTCCACCTTTCAAAGTACTGGAATTACAGGAATAAGCCACAATTCTAGGCCCCAAATATTGTCTACTGATGTGGAACCTGTGGATATTAAGGGCCAATTGTACTATTATTCTTTTTATCAAATAAAACTCTGATGCCTCTTGTGGAGAGATTCAACCTGAGGAAAGGGGGAAATCTCTGTGACACCCACTATACAAAGTCTTTGTTTGTTTGTTTTTTGTTTTGTTTTTTGAGACAGAGCCTCAAGCTGTTGCCCTGGGTGGAGTGTCGTGGCATCACAGCTCACAGCAACCTCCAACTCCTGGGCTCAAGCGAGTCTCCTGCCTCTGCCTCCCAAGTAGCTGGGACTACAAGCACCCACCACAATACCGGGCTATTTTTTGGTTGCAGCCGTCATTGTTGTTTGGCGGGCCCGGGCTGGGCTTGAATCCGCCAGCTCAGGTGTATGTGGCTGGCATCTTAACCACTTGAGCCACAGGCACTGAGCCCAAAGTCTTTTTTTAATTTAATTTTTAGTTGACAAGAAAAATTTAGTCTTTTTTTTTAAATTAGTAACAGAGATTATTTGACAATCATGTCAAAACAGAAATTTCAGGCTGTAATCTCAGCCCTTTGAGAGGCTAAAGCAGAAGATCACTTGAACCCAGGACCTTGAGTTTGCTGTGAGCTACAATGATGCCACAGCACTCTATGCCAAGACAAGAATGAAATATGGTCTCAAAAAAAAAAAAAAAAAATGGTCTTCGTTATCATTGCTATTTTGATCTTTCATGTAAATTTTAGGAGCAGTTTGCAAATTTTGATTCGGAATACCTAAAATTTATCAAATAATTTGAGAAGAACTGACATCTTTATGACATTGAGACTATAGCTATAATGTTTAGCTCCACTTGAATTTTGTCTTACAGTTTTTCCCCACAAGGTTCATATATTACTTTTGTTTGACTTTTTCCTAGCCTGTAGTTTTGTTAGTATTTTAAACAGTTAAATAGTATCTTCTTTTTCTATTACTATTTCTAATTATTTCTATTATACATAAATTTTATTAAAATTTATACATGTTGATTTTATACACATAGACTTTGTAACTTCCTGTATTTGTGCTAATGGTATTTCTTTCTTTTTTTTTTTTGCAGTTCGGCGGGGCTGGGTTTGAACCCGCCACCCTCGGTATATGGGTCTGGCGCCCTACTCACTGAGTCATAGGTGCCGCCGCTAATGGTATTTCTAAAGGTTCCTCTGATTTTTTATGTAGACCATCATGTCATCGTCAAATTAAAAATGTTTTCTGTTTCCAAGGTACTCTGATAGACCAGGATCACCTACAGGATGCTAAATAGTATGTATTATCGTGTTCTCTGTCATTGGTCTTCTTACTTCCTAACCTAATCTGCCTCGCCTCTGATCTGGTGAGGGTTTCCTGGAAGAGGCTAAACAGGAGCTAAGGTCTCCTTTGGTGAAGAACAGCCATTGCTGTTGAGGTAATTATCCCACCCTCAAAGCCTATGTCACTCATACAACATCAAATACAGTTAAAATAAAGTGTATACTTTGAGATACTGCTTAGACTTGAAAATATATAGTCTAGCTTCAAAATAATAAGATTAGGCTCAGCACCTATAGCTCAACCAGCTAAGGCGCCAGCCACGTACACCTAAGGTGGC